GGCTGAGGGGGTAGGGTGGGGTGTGAAGAGGTCAATGGTTGACCCCTGACTCTGGGTCAGCTAAAAGTGCATCAATTCCAGCTGGCCCAATCTGAGATGAATGCTCTGGAAAAGAGTCCTCTGTCGCTGTGTGGAGTGTGAATTGGACCGTTTCCAGCATATATCCTTTTATAACCTGGCTAAAATTAGGCTGCAGAGGAACAAGTAGAAAGATCTGGGTCTAACCAAAGACTGTGGCTGCCACCGAGGGCATAGTTCTAAGTTGACGTATTCACTGGAAGACCCAGGCTCTGGCCAGACCATAGAATTTCCTGCTCCATAGTAGGTCAGTCTTTGGAACCACCAACAGCCCTTTCTGTACTTTCTAGCTTGCCCAACAGAACCTTCCTCTCACCTTCTAGCTTGCTTTCCCTAGGAATGAGCACACTCCAGACCTGAGGGGCCAGCTTAAAGCATTTTCCCTTTAATTCAGAAAGGTTGATGGTAGAGTCTGCCCTGCCACACTGGGCCCTCGTGCAGGGTAATGCCTGTTTAAGCAATGCTGCACAGGTCACCTGGCTTTCTCAGCTCCTATACCCCCCTATACCCAGCTAATGGGGCTCATGGGGAGTTGGGGCTCAGATTACTTCATCTACTCTGGAGAAGTAATAAACAAATAAAGTAATCTTTATCTCCAGAGTAAGTAAGTAATCTTTATCTCCTTTTTCTTGAGGACTTACTTGTGCCAGGTACCATGAATGTTGCCTCTTTGGTGCTGATTGCCCTCACCACCACTCTCGGGCCAGAGTTCCCAACCCTCGGGCCATGGGCTGGTAGCATACAATAACATACCCCATACCTACAAGCATGGCAATAAACATAAAGTGCTTGAATCATTCTGAAAACATCCTCTTCTACCCTGACTATCCACCCTACTCCTAGATTCATGGAAAAATTATCTTCTATGAAATTGGTCTCTGGTGCCAAAAGTATTGGGGACTGCTGCTCTAAGGACCTCATTTAAGATAACAGAACTAGAGTTGAGGAAAGTCAAGAAGATTGCCCAGTCCACACAGGAGTGATGGAATCGTGCTCTGGCTTCTATGCTGACCCACACTTCTAATGATTAAGCCCTGCTATCATGTTAACGCACCCCTCTCTCCACCTTTCTCTTGTCAAGGATCTGTTCTATCCCCCGTAACTGGCCTGTCATTATGGTGAACTTGTGTCTGTCAGGGTGATGTGGGGCCAATGACTTCCTGTTACTTTCCAGGTAATATTTGCATTTAGACTGGAGTTGTCTGACAACCACTCGCCCTAAAGGAATACATCTGAAGACATCTAATTAATTGTCTTGCTCATCATCAGTCCTCTGTTTACAAATTCCTAGAACAAATTCTTTATAAAAAAAAAAATCACATACACCAAGATAAGTGATCCAATGACCACAGGTCAGGAGACAAGGAGTCTAGTCTCAGATCTACTACAGAATGGATCAGCACCATGGACAGGCCATTGGTCTTCCTGGACTCTGCCCACTCCACAGATGGTAGTCAATGAACACCTTGTGTGTTAGGAAAAGGGCTACAGTGGAGAGCTAATGGACATGAACTGGTAGCTGGTAGCCCGGATTCTTTCTCCACATGATGAAAAAGTAAGTGGTGGGTTTTTTAAGTTCCCACTTTTTAATAGAGCACCCCCCCTTTTTTTTTACACAAAAGCAAATGTTTACAGAAAATTATAGCTTAGAATGGAATGCAACCATCCTCCTATTGGAGTGAGAGAGGAAGGTTTGAGACTAAGCCCTTCTCATAGATCCCTCTTCTTGACCCCTTGATAAGCCCCATGGGGTCTCCCAGAATTCCAAGGTCTGATCCTCCATAGTGTTAAAACTTCAAGTACCAGGGCCAGCAGGTGGCATGGTAGTTAATGCACTGGACTTCCACATGGCTGTCTGCAGTTCAAGACGCAGACCTGGTGGCTTGAAAATCAAGCCGAGTGTATTGCATGCATGCCCCAAATCCTGAGAGGTGAGTGGAGGAGAAGGTATTGTGGCATGGCCATCTCCCCAGGCATGATTTCTTGCTTTCCTTCTCTATCTCTGTCTCTCTCCAGTGAGTGCACATACCCTATATAAATAAATAAAAGCCTTAAGTACCTACCAGGGCTGATAACGGATGACTTGTGTAAAGCCAACATAGTGGTTGTTCCTACTGACCTGACCTCATGCTTCTCAGGAACAGGCAGAACCAAAACCCCCTGCTGCCTCTACGAAAGCTTTCCTCACTTTGCTCCTTTAAACCTCCACTTCAACTTCAAGATAAATAAAGGTGTTAGGTGCTTTCAGCATTTGCTCCTGCAATACATGTGGGATGTAGCTTCTGCAAACTTTTATCCATTTAGCCTCTATTTCAGACACCATTTTGTTGAAAACTTTCCACATGGTAGTTAGTGTGTGGTCCAGAAGAGACACCACCCTTGGTCCAAACTATATTTCACCACAGGTGGGCAAATAGACCACCTGGAAGGCCTTGACTTCAGCCTCAGAGCTTCTATGCAAAGTCAGTGAAACAGGTTCACAGAAGCAACCTCATACGAATGGGGTGTTTGGGCACCTTGTTGACTCAGCAGTAATGTGCTGCTTGAACAATGCTGGGTTTCTATAGAACAGTGAAGATTTTGGTTCCCTGGCCAACTCCTCCACACTCGCGCACCCCTGATCCTGGCTGGTTGAGAAGATTGAGGGGGAACACAGTGTTGAGAATGTTTCACTTGCTTACATGCTCTCTCTCACTCTCTCTCCCTCTCTTGAAAGAAATAAACAAAGAGAAAAAAGTAGGCATTCATTTTGCATCTTATTTGTCCTCAAGGCTGGTTCTTTTCCAGAGGCACAGGCTGAGGAGTGGCAGATAGTGATTGCTGATAATCTTTTATTTTTATAAGATTGCCTCTTGAGAGTTCTCATCACCCCCCCCCATGCAGTGGTCATAAAGGGATGTACTAGTAGTTTATGGAGTAATGATGGGTCATATCTGCTGCCTACCTGTTCACCATGTAAAATATTAGCCTGGCCTTTTTGGACTACATGGTCTCTGTTGCAACTGTTCTACTCAGCTATTGCAAAAGCAATCCCAGGCAAAAGAAATGTATCTATAAAAATAAGTAGTAGGCTGGAATAGGCCCAGGACTGTGGTGTGCTGTGCCCTCTTTATATTGCACTCACCAAGTATGATCTGAAACTTCTGATCTGAAAGACAAACATGATATGCTCTTGGCTCACAAGGACCATGGCAGTCTGGTGTGGAGAGATACATGTGACTTGAAGCCCCCGAGGGTGACAGGTCCTCGAGGGTGGGGACCAAGGAGCATCCTGGGTGCATTCCTAGGAGGAAGCAGCCAAGTCCTCCAAGAAAGGAATTGCCCAAATTCCAGTGCTGAATAAAGCTGTAAGATCCCAGCCTGAGTACCAGGACTGAACCAGGACTGAAATGAAGGTGTAGCAGCCTCGCTGCAGCGCATGGTGGTGACGCTGCTACTTAGCAGGCTAAGGCCACATGGGAGAACAATATTCAACTTCTTCTGTTTTTTTTTTTCTTTTTAGCTTTTGCTATAAGTTACATGTGCTCACCAGAGAAATACAGAGATAGAGAGATAATCAGAGAAAGGAGGGGGAGAGAGAGAGAAGTAAAGTGAGAGCCTTCTCCCTACCCCCAGGGATATGGCCACACCCCAATCTCTTCTCCAGTTTCTTCTTGGGACTTTGAGCATGCACACACATCCACCCAGCATAATTTCTAGGCCACCAGGTCTGGGACTCAAACTGCATGGTCAGCCGTGTGGGATTCAGTCACCTTACCCTCCACACCACCAGCTGCCCCTCTATACTCAATTTCTAGCCCATCCTAGCAGCTGGACATGGTGTCATGTACCTGTAGTCCCAGCTACTGGGGAGGCTGAGGCAAAAGGATTGTGACATAGTGAGACCTTATCTAAAAGAAGGGAAAAAGAGAGAGAGAGAAAGAGAGAAAAGTAATAATTTCTCAGGAATCTAAGGTTTGTGGTTTGTCTGTTTATAACTACACACTGGGCAGCTGCATACTGGTTAGGAGCATGAGCTTAATAGGCCCTGCAGCCCTGGGCTGGGAAGTCAAAGCTTCGTGGCCTTAGACAAGGATGTCAGGCTCCTCACCTCTAGAATGGAGACACACGGAGTGAGTAGATGAGATTGTGTGTATATATATATATATATACATACTATATTTGTGGAAGGAAGAGATGCTCTCCAGTACAGTGGCTACTACTTTAACTAGTTTCAGAGTTTCCAAGAGTGCTCTGAGAAACCACCCTTCCCCATGTCTGATTTCCCAAAACTCACAAATAACCTGAAGCAAAAGCCTTACTTTTTGGCCATGATGCTATTGATAACTGTGGTACTAATTGTATGAAATCAAGAGTAGAGTTAATGGTTGCTACTATTTTTTTTTTTTTGGAGAGTTTTTTGCTATAGGGCATGTGCGCTCACCAGATATATATAGAGAGACAGACAGACAGAAAGCGAGAAATCACCCCCAGGGGGAATGGCCACGCCGCAATCCCTTCTCCTCCATTCTCCTCTCAGGATCTTGGGCACGCATGCACATGCACCCGGCGTGAGTTTTAAGCCACCGGGTCCAGGACATGAACCACGGTCGAATTAAATGGGAGTCCAGCGACATAGCCATTACGCTAACTGCTGGTTCCAATGGTTGCTAGTACTTAATTCACGTTACCTATTTGCTAGAAACCATCCTGAAACCTTTACAAGGGCTATCCTACTTAGTTTGCTCCACAACTCTGTAGGCAGAGCCCCGTATTTCACAAAGGCAGACAGGAGGTTCAGAGTAGGCAAGTGAATTCCCCAAGGTCACACAGCAGCAGAGGGTGGCTGTAGAACTCAAACCCAAATATGTCTAATATTGGCAGCCACATTCCTCAGCTCCTGGAAACACAAAGATAACAGATTCTTCTTGTGTCTTTTCTAGTGTCCAGACAGCAGTGGACTGTGGTGGCAGTGGCAGAAAAGAGATGTAAGTTAACCTCAAGAAGAACTGAGATGCTTACAAGGGTTTTCTAGGTCCCATTTACAAGGAGAATGGCCCCCGCTACTTGAAGAACAATCAGCAATGCCCCTGAGAGCTCTAAGGGGCTTTTTTGAACTGTCTGGTCTCTTTCAGAGAAAGAGAACATGCTTTATCATGCCACCGTCCTCTAACACTGTCAGTGGCTCCCCATTGCTCAAGAATGAGCTTTTTAGATTGACATTTATGTCCTGCACATTTTAACTCTTAACTTCCTCTCCATCTGCAGTTCCTACTTTCCATGTTGCTTATGTCCTGTCCTTTTATGAACCTCCATGCCTATTTGCATATTATTCCTTTCAGCTAAAACTTCTTTCTCTCTGTGTGGTCAAACCCTTACTTTCAAGGAATATGTAACTAAACTGCCATTATGTATGCCTTCTCTTATGCCTCTAAGAAGAAAGTGAAGCTTCCCTCCTTATTGTCCTTAAGCCTACCTTCTGTCCCTCTTCATGGGATTCGTAATTTCTCTTGAATTTTGTCATTATCTATATAAATGTTTTTCTTCTCTGATAAGGGACGATCTTAAGGACAGGGTCAACATTAAGTTCATGTGTACAACTCCTTTCTCTTGGTGCCTGGCAAAATATCTCATAAAACATACTATGTACACATACACACATAATGTTGAGTGAATATTTCAATCACAAAATAATTATTGAGTGCCTCTGTGGGCCCTTCCCTGTGCTGCTTTCAGAATCAGGAAACATAAAAGTAAAGTCACTGTTAACAAAGTCATTCCATTTAAAAGGAAAAGTTTAAGACCTCACTTGACATATTTCACAAGCATAACATTTGGTATATAATTCAATGCCAGGTCTTATTTCCAAGTTGGAGAGGCCTCAACATCTGTATTGGAGTGTGTATCTCTCTAAGGAAGAGCTCAGTGGTTAATAGAATAGATAGTGGAATTAAAAGAAATGGAACTTGGATCCCAATTTCATGTCTAACTAGCTGGGTAACCTTGGCCAAGACCCAAGGTAGCCTCTCCAAATCACACTACTCTTATCTTATCATGGCAATGGCACTGGCTTTCATCAGGCATGGTGAGTGAAGTTATGCATATGTAACAGGTAGCACAATATCTGTTTTATACTATTGGGTAAATATCTAGTTATTGCTGTTACTGTGGTTGTCATTGTGATGACAGTGTCCTACTTTCTGGTTCTAGGGATAATGTCTCCATTCTTAGCTCCCAGCCAGAGGGAAGTCTTCAGTCCTGGTTGAGCTGTACTCTGTCTCTGGCCACAGACACCATAAGGACACCCTCTCGACAGTCAATCAGCAGCAGCCACAATCTTAGCCCCAGGTGAGTGTATCTCCCTGATGAGTCTGGATGACAAACATCTTGAAAAACCTCAGTCTTGACAAGTTGTTGTTCAAGTCTTCCACTTCTTCTGGCCTAGGCAAGAACAATTGAAATATGATTCACCATCTCTTAGCTGTATGACTTTAAGCAGGACACTTAACCTCTTTGAGTCTCCACTTCATCATCTGAAAAACTAGTAATATAAGGGCATTTACTAGCCCAAATGATTGAAATGATGAGAATCTAATGAAGCCCTCCCCAAAGTGTGTTTTTATACACTTGGTATAAAAACAACACTGTTGAACATTTTTTAAAAATAGGTATGGATTTATTATAGTTGCCTTCTATACACATGCTAAATGTGTTTATTTTCCATTGATGGATAGTTATGGGTTTAATATTTTCCTTATAAACATATTCAATACTTTTTTAAAAAATGAGAGTCATTATAGAGAAGGTTGAGATAGATGATTCCACACTTGGAGATTTTAGCTTTATGTGAATGTCAGAATTTTATTATTTCCCTATCACAGAAGAAGATGAATTTAGTCATGGCCTGAGATGGGGTCCTCACATGTCTACAGGATTGCCAGCAATAAATTGCCTCAACAAATGGGCCTTGAGATTCGCTCTTAGTTGCATGACTTAAAGCCACCATCCCTCTTGTTTTTTTTAGCTCTATTTCCCTGAGCTTACTTGGTTTTCCTTTTCAAGGGTGACCCTCATGTAATTAGGAGCTAATGGCCATAAATCAGAAATTATGGATTAAGCAGATGCATAATTAAGATGAAATGCACACTGTGTCTCTGATAACAGAAGGACCAATGCGGTAAAATGGAAAGGAAAATCACAGACTAATGGAACAAACCCAGACGACCCCATTCTTGACTCAGAATGTGTTTGCTCTGAGTCAGGAGGTTGTCTCTACACAAGAAAGGAGGTGGGAGTTCATGCTAACCTTCTAGGCATATTTGGCAAGTGGCAAATGTCTGGCGCATGTCTGCAGATCTTCAGTCTTAAACTGAAGAATTTGATATAGAAAATATCAAATGGAGGCTCCAAGAGTGGGTTCATCTGCGGAGTTAATTAAAGTTAGATTATCTGATTACTGTCCTCAATTAGAAACAAAGGCCTATATGGCAAAAGGATCATGTCCTCCATGAATCCCCAATGATGAGGACTTTTTCTCTGCTAATAACTAAGTACCTTTGTTTTTCCTTGTCTGTGTAAGGCAGCAGAAAGAGAACTAGCAGTAGCCAGAAGAAAGCATGCATGTTTATTAACACAATATCCAAGTTTCATAATTATAATAAGTATATTAGGGTGCATGATAAGGATCCTTAGCCCATGAATTGTACCCTAAGTTGCTTGGCGCACCTGTTTGAAAGGGAGAGGACAAGGTTGGTGGTCTAAGTGTATTGTCTGAATTCAAAACATCTGGATTCCCATCCTATATTTGTATTTTCTGAAGCTGTGAAATTTGGCGCAAGTTGCTTAACCTATCTGTTCATGTTTCCTCATGAGTAAATCAAGATTGTTTTGCAGATGAATATGATGATGCACATGTCATTGTTCACTCAGAGACTGACACCTAGAACTAGCTCAGGAAAATTAGCCAGTTTATCAGCAATGGTATCTATTTGATGCCCAGAGGAATCCCAGGAGACAAACATCATTACCTACTGGTAGCAGAAGAGGAAGCTGAGATCTAGAAAAGGGGCAGCAATGGATCCATGCTCAGATGATCTAACCACAGGTCTTGCAACTGCTTCTGCCCTCAGACAGGCTGGGTCCTCAGCACCACCAGGCAGTCCCCCCCAGAATGTCCACCCCTTTTTCCTGCCCT